CCCAAATCCTACCTCTGCATTCTGGGTTAGTTAGCCTTCATGGATTCTGGGCTGACATCATTTGAGACATTAATAAAATTTTCAGTGAGCTTCTGGCAAGGCCTAAACATATTTTCACTGGGCCCATCGTTATCCTTGAACATATACCCTATCTCCTCCTTGGTGACATCCTATACATGTAAACCATAAAAGAAAAAGAAATTCTGCTTTATTCTTAAATGACATGTGTAGTTCATATGGGCTACACTGGTAACATGGCCCACAGTAAGATGTGCCCATTTCCTCACCCCACTGTTGGGGCCCTGGTTCTGTGTATGCACGGGGAAGAGAATGTTTCCCTTATGATCTGAGGAAGTGTTCTTGCACACAAAAGTTCATACCATGAATAAAACTTTGTTGGTCTTAAAGGTGCCACTGGACTCAAACTTTGTTCTGCTGCTTAAGACCAACACGGCTATCCCACCTGAATCTCCCTTATATACTGTAAGGGAAAGGGGGAAAGGCCCCACTGCTGGACCTCCTGATGGCACCTGGTATTTTTGGCCCCTGTGTGACAGAGTGTTGGACTGGATGGGCCATTGGCCTGATCCAACATTGACTTCTCTTATGTTCTTATGTTTTGCCCCTTTCTTCCCCGTTTTGCCTTTCCAAATCTCCTTCCCAGTGTTGCTATTAGCCTCAAAAAGAAAAGCTGGCAGGGGGAGGTGTCTTTCCATCTTCCAGTGACAATAAAAACACAGATGGGAGGGTATACTTTATTATATTCATATAAGGGTGCACAGGATGGGGATTCAGGTGTCTGAAATGTAACTTTTAAAGCTGCTAAGACCCATCTCCAGGTCATCTACTTTGACCCTAAGAAATGTTAATTGGCTCCTCCCAAACAGAGAACCATTAAGAAATACTGATGGTGAGATTATGTCTAAAATATTTAGAGCCCGTTCTTAGAGAAGTTCCAGCAGTGTGTACAGACTTAGGTCTTCTTGTCCTGGTACGGGTCAAGCTGGAGCAGATGTTTTCTTCTTTCCACTGGAAAACAAATATATTTCCCTAGAGACAGATGTGAAACTGTGACATAAAAGGACCCTACCCTTTTGTGTGATCCAGAGCAGCATTAGTTCTTCAGCAAGAAATATCCACTTAGAACTGGGCTGGGCAGACTCTGATGAGTACAAAAGAGAATAAGCCATAGCTGCCATGAGGAAGGGCCTTGGGAGACAACATTCCAGGGCCCCCGATCATTTTGAGGCCCATGGAGATGAGTAAATCACACAATTTGTTTTTAATATATTTGGGTTGGGTCTGGGTGGTGAGGAGGAAGTCCAGAGGGAATCTTTTTCTAGGGGGGTCATGGTAGCTCTTGGCAGCCCAAAGTAAGGCTGATATTTTGGGGTCAATTTAAAGTTCTTGTCTTGTCCTTAAAGCCCTTAAGGGCTTGGGTCCAAAGTTCTTTGAGGTCTGCTTCTACCTGCCTGAGTTGGGATTCAGCTATGGTCCCTTCCTGTGGGAACCAGCCTTATCTGAAGTGAGGATGGCCCAGACTAGTAGGAGGGCCTTCCCAGCAGCAGCTCCCAAACTCTGGGACTCCCTCCCCCAGGAGGAGAGAACAATACCAACCTTCTGAATTGACTTAAAGACATTTCTGTTCTGGAATGGTTTGAGATTAGTCCATTGATCATGGAATGGTTCTTGTTCTAGTGTACTCTGGGATTTTTTTTTACTGTATTCTATTTTTGTTTTAATGATAATTTGTTATTGTATTTGCTTTTACCATTAACAGCAAAGTCGTGTACAAAGGCAATAAATAAATCTCAGAATGCCTTCCTTTAGATACCTTGAACCATCCTGTGATTATGTGGGGGCAGGGGGGATTTGTGGTGGCAGCTAGGAATGTACTAAATGCTTTCAGAATGCAAGCTACAGTTGATGTGTCTGCACAGAGTTAAAGCTCATGTTTGTTGCTTCATTATCATCATTCTTGCCCATTAACCAGAACATTAATTGATACAAAGTTCCCCATGTTGAGGAATGTGCATGTCAATTTTTTTTTTAAGTTCTCAATTTCTGCCTTCCCATTTTTAGCTTAGGGCCTATGTCCACATTAACTATGATGATAAGTTAGTTTAGCTGGGATTCGTTGGAAAAGGTACAGAAGGGTGAAATGTTGTTACCAAGCTTTTTTGTCCTAAAGATGACTGAGAGCCATTGTGGAGTAGTAGTAAAGAGTGGTGGACTCTAATCTGGAGAACAGGGTTTGATTACCCAGCTGATTACCCAAGCTGGGTGACCTTGGGTCAGTCACAGTTCACTCAGAGCTGTCTCTCAAGAGCAGTTCTATCAGAATTCTCTCAGTCCCACCTACCTCACTGGGTGTCTGTTGTGGGGAGAAAAGGGAAGGAGATTGTTTGCCTCTTTGACTCCCTAGGGTAGAGGATATGGGGTATAAAAACCAACTCTTCTTCTTCTTAAATCTTTTTACAGACAATAAACAGGACTGAAGAATGTCCGTCTGAAAAGTTTGCCTTGAGTGGAGAAACTTCATTGAACAAGAAGTTGGCTTCCAGTTTGCACAGGCATCAACAGAATTTTCTTTTTCATTTTCTACCTTACCCAACAACAACAAAAACTAAACAGTGTTTCTATGTGCTGTGCAAATTGTTCAGTCATGTAGTCTGATAGTTTTATTTTTGCTATTTTTTTATTAAAGAAAAAAGAGAAACCCATGGCCAAACACTGGGTTTAATATTTCATCTGGATGAACATTTGAAATTCAGAATTTACTTGGAAGTGTAGATAGATTTTTTTCCCCGAAACAACAACAGAGAAGCCGACAATGTCAAGAGGGAGTGAGTGGAAACGGAAATTAACGGTCTTCCTCAAGCAATCAGCTACTCTTCCCCCTCCCCCTTCTTGTTGAAATCCAATGTGTCTTTTATTTTTGGAAGTTTTTTTTTTTTTAAGAGAAGTTTAGGTAAGGTTTATCTTGAATCTTAATTGCCTTAATTTTAAGGACGTCAAAAGCTCTCGAGGCAAAGCTGTCAACGTCTTGGTAGAAGAAAGGAGAATGAATTCAAGTGCACGCCGGTGTCAACTGGTGCTGAAGTTTCATAGACTGGATTTTTAGGGTGAACAAAATATATATAAATGAACTGTACCGTTTAGCAGAAAACGTGTTGTTTTTTTCTTCTTTTGAAGAAAACGCTGTTGAAAGAGGAACTGTGGCGACTTCAAGAATCAAATAAAATGCTGAGACTTTTATGAACTTTCTTAAGTGTTGACAGAGAAGAATCTAGAAGGCTAAAGTGTTTTCAATAAAGTTATTGAACTGAGGCGGGGGAATCAGCTCGCATTTTCAAGAATGTGGGGTTTTTTCCCTTGCAGGATGAAGCTTTTTTTTAATTTACAGAGCGTGATCGCCGGCAAAAGCGTTAGTGCTTTTTATCTGCAGTCTTTTTTATGAGCTTTAAAAAGTTTTTAGTCTGCTTTGCTTGTCACATTGCAAACACCTAGCTTAAAAGCATTGGGGGGGGGACTTAACGTAGATAGGAGCTTATGGTCAAAAAAGTGCAAAAAAAAAGCAATAGCTAGAAGAAATTGTTGACAATTTCTGTAGTCTTTCCTAGTTGTGATCAAATGCAGCCTATGGATGGCCTATTTTATACCAAAGATGAAATGACACCCTACCACAGTCCAGAAGATAGAGGGTTTTTTTTCCTTATTTCTTTCCTTTTTTTAAAAAAAAAAAAGTCTTTATTTGCCCTACATGGCCGGACCAGTTCTTAACTTAGTGTTTGTTTAAACTATCTTCCACTGGTGTTTTACATCCTACGTTCTTAGGCTTCTAATGGAAAGGTCTGAGTAGTTGGTACTTAGCAGCACTTAGCAGGATTTCACAGCATGAGAAAGGAATGAGTTGCCGCTGGTTCAACCCAGGTGCGTTTTAACTTTGCTGAGCTTTTCTGCTATATCGTCTGGTTCCTTTGGTACTGAGACTGCAGTCTTCCTTCTTTGTTGCATCCCATGGGTTTCATTTCCTCCCCTCTCCCTCTGTCATCTTCCAGCCATCTTCCTTTTGCATTTGGGCGGTGCATTTGAGTCACTTAGAAGATGCCATTGAAGGCAGAGAGACGATCAATGTTTCATTTAGCTCTCCCGTGGAAGAAGAAAGTTACAAGAAAAATTTGCTCGCGTTAATTCTCTCATGCAAGCATGAAGTTAACAGTCACTTTATACTAACTGGCTTTCTGTTGTCTTAATCTGTTTGCTGACAATCACTAATTAGTTTGATTAGGCAAAAGACAATAGCAAGTAAATTAAACCTATTTTTAAAAGAAAAAAGAATATATGGAATCTATATATGGATGGTCTAAGAAGATGTAATCTTTTTCCAAAAGGGGGGGATGTCATTCGGTGACAATTTGGGGAGAAGGTCTGGCTGTGGGGAAGGCCCCTCAAAAAAATTTCCAGTCCCCCAAAGAATTTTATGAAAAAAATGTTTTTGAAAATATGCATTACTCCCATTCCCCAACTACCTTATTCTCCACTGGTTCCCCCTAGTTTACAAGGGGTACAGTCCTTTAGGAATCTCTTGTGTGCAATCATTACATAAATGGTTAGGAGTTGAACATAAGCACGTCAGAGGAGATTGTCCAGATGCTCCTTCTCCCCACCCCCAACCAGAACTGCTATTGATGAGCAAGTACAAGATTCCTTCTCTCTATAGCAGGCAGAAAGATCTAGCAAAGGAAGCACTTAAAACAGATAAACCAAATGACTGAAATGGTTGTCGTTCGGGGCAATGTTCCCTCTAAGCTGTGGAGTCTTGTGAGCAGAAATTCTACCTTGTGAGCTACTGGCATTAAAAGTTGTGAGCGAGCGATTTGGCTACTGTATATATTAGTTTGCTCTGGAGCCCTCCTCCCTGAGCTAAGACAAAAATCTGTGAGCTGGAGGCTAAAAAACTGTGAGCTGGCTCACACTAACTCAGCTTAGAGGGAACACTGGTTCGGGGAAAAGAGACAGGTTTCACCACAACTGCTGTGGTGCATTCAGAACAGGGTAACTGTATGGGGGGGGGGGATTGGAGCAACCAGATATGTAATATTAAGGATAGAATCCATTGAACTTGACTTCCATACAAGCTCCAATGAAATGAAATAAGCAGTGTTTCGGAGTATTGTCAGAAGATTGCGCAATGGTGTCTGTGGTTACTTTCAAATGACTTTCTAGAGAATCAAGTATTTTTTTAAGAATACTAATTCCTTATTTTTACTGTAGTATCTCCTTTTGGGTGGGGGTGGGGGTGGGTTACCCAAATAAATGGCTGCTAAATATGCAACACTTAAAAAAAAAGGATCATCTGGTCAACTGGCATAGAAAGAGGACCTGATTATGTGAGATTCTAAAGAGCATGTAGTTTTGGTTAACTACATATGGACAGTTCTAACTAAAAGGACAACAGCATCAGAAAAAACGATTCCGTAAAGACCTCTAGCTTCTTCCTTTCCTTCATGTGCTTGGCCATTGCTGTTTATGTTCTGTGTGCATCACTTGATTTTCTTTTCTTTTCCCCCTTTGGGAAAGCGTGAACAGCCTGCTGGAAGGGATGTGGCCAAAAAGAAAAAACAACAACCCAATCCCGCCAGCCTTATTTTCTTCTTTATGCTCTGTCTTTTTCTATGTGTATAAATAGAGATTATCCTTCTGTGGCACAATTCCTGATGTACATGAAAGAAGCAAGGTTGGGGTATTTTTTTCCCTTTAATTATTGTTTCTGTATAAATTCTGGTTTGGTGCAAAGACATGCCTCGTTGCAGTTGACAATGAGGCTGTGATGTAGCTACCATGTGGCAGATGGCTTGGCTGAGGGACCTGCCTGTTTCGATTCAGAACTCTGCTGCTTTATTTGTACATTATGAACCTTTGGGGGGTTTCCAGGGAGAAGGAAGTCTTCTTCCAAGGAAACATTAGTTTTGGGGAAAATTATTTTGTCAAACATTTCCTTACCAGTTTTCAGTCACGTTATACCCCATAAAATAATATCAGAAACATTTGTGCAGAGATCCTTCAATTGTAAGAACAAGAGTTAAAATTTAGGTACACAGATGAAATTTCCACATCCATATTTTATTGATACAGTTGGCAAGGAAATTGGGTCCATTTCGACCCATGTTCTGAAGCTCCACACGTTTTTGCCTATGTATTACACACTTTGCCCATACTTAGACACAGGCACCAAATGGAATTTACACCAATCCATGGAAGGTCCCCAAACATCAGATCTTCTCTTATAACTCCACATCCTAAATTTGCTATATAGGCCAATAATCATAAACAATGCACAGGAAGCTTCTTCAAATACAGCTTCCTTTAGATCATCATTCTGTCTGTCCCTACTTACAACACCAGCATCAGTTGTGTGAGAAATGGGGTTGTTGGCACAAGGGCCACATGATTGCAATTATTCAATGTGATGTCAACATCCATATACTACTAATCCAACATAGAGCTGAGCAGTTGAGGAGTGGTTTTCAAATGTACACAACTGTGACAATGTTTTAACTGACTTGCAGTTGTGCATCAGTATTGGTATTCTATTATATTTTTATCTTGTCCTTCCTCCAGGGATCTCAGAGTACCATACGTGGTCCCCCATCCCTCCATTTTATCTTCAGAAGAATCCCATGAGGTAGGTTAGGCTCTGTAAGAGCATGGCTGGACCAGGATCACCCAGTGAGCCTTATGGATGAGTAGGGGGTTGAACCGCAGTCTTCCCAGTCCTACTGTGCATCACAACAGCTCTTTTCAGTTTGCAATTTATTACTATTATGTTATTTAAAAGCAAATGCTGTTTGGACTGTGACCCTTTCTACTGATCCATACCTCAGTTCAGCCAAAGTATATACGGTTTTGATTAGAGCTGAGTTACTCCCTATTCACTTTAATCCGAGTATTTGATCGTGACTGGTTGTGAAGTGGGATGTTAGTCTGAAAGATGCCAAAAGAAGCTATTTTAATTTTCTTTTTGATGCTTTCAATGATCCTCCCCCCCCCCCGAATTTTGGATGCTACCTTAAATGATCCCTAGATATGTTCCTAGTGGTGGGTTCCTAAATGCATGATTCTGGTTTGCCAAGAAGCTGAGAGTGTCTTGTTACAATAGTTCAACGTTCCATTGTGCAGCAGAATTTGGATGTCTTGGATGCTTCCATCATATTGTATTACGTTCTACTATAGTTGTGTTCACATCTGAGTAGTAGGGAAACTGGTGATCAGACAGGCAAGGGGTTCTGCAATGAGCTTAAGCATTAAAATGCATTTTTACATTATTAAAAATAAGAAGGAAAGGTATTATTTATGTATGTATGGCAACCACACTCGGCAGATTTGAGAATGCCTGCAATGTAATAAAGTTTATTTTTAGTATGTCACAGTATTTTGAGCTAAATTATGTTGTCTATGGTATTGAAGAAATGATGTGAAATATGTAGAAAGCTGCCTTGGTTCATAATTTTTAAGCCTGAAGGTGTTTTTCTCACCCTCTTCATTTTAATGCTGAGGCTGACATGAGTGAAACAGGTTTAAGTACAGACTCATAGACTATTACCTATAGAGTA